TCTTGCTTTTGGAGTAATTATGACAGCTTATATGGTTTACAAATTATATGGAATTGAAAAGGCTTGTCATTACTATCACAAAAAGAGACTTCCTGTGGTTCCAACAGAACAAGAATATGATGAGTATTTTGTGGATGACTGGGTTGCTGATCGTATGGAGAATCCACAGGAATACGATGAACAACATGTTCCTGTAATACCTGATGATCGGCTAGCAGAGAGTGAAGAATTAAGAAGACCATTACTTGATATACAAATTAACTAAAGAATTGAGTTGGGTGTATATTACTAGCTATATCTGTGTATATACTTCACTATAGGTGTGTCCTTTATATTTAGTATCTTTTGTACAAGAGTGGTTATACTTACTTTTGCTACAATATTTTTGTGTGCTTAGATTAAAATTTAATCAATACACATCATTAAGGCTGGTGTTGTTGCTTAATGCCCATAACTTATGCTGTAGTAGAGATCATGAAGCATAAAATACTTCATGTAAAAATGCAATTAAGACACAAATGGACGAGTGAGTTTATAATAGTCAATAGTGAACAGTATGTGGGTAAGAATTAACAAACAAGGGGAACTATAATATCCATTATAGTTCTATGGGATTATAATGACCTACAAACTTACAAGTTATAGCACAAACTTAAGATGCAAATGCAAAAACAATAATATGTGCTAAATATGGTTATCACATCACATGATCACTAGTGACTGGAGAATGAGTAATACCTTCAGTACACATTAGATAAGGTCAATGTGAACAAGAAATGCTAGTTAAAATTACATTTACATAATGGTATACTCATTATATTCTCCACCTTCCCCTTACCATCATAATATCTTCTACCACACAGTATGCTGCCATCAGTGAGGTTCAACCACAGATTGTTAGTAAGGTCACATCTTTCACACTTCCAACCGCTAAAAGCATGATGGCATCGTAACGAAAGACCACACCCATTATATCTCACCTTATTGGGACTTTCTTGTCAGTTGGTAGTTGAACTAGTGTCTCAGCATGTCTAAAAATAAAGATATAAAGTACAAGGATCCTTTAAAGTGACTGCTAAACATTATTGAATCCATTCCTGATCAAAATTGGATTTCTTACACTTGCTTCAAAATCGGGCCAGAGTCCCTGTACTATAGTACATGGTCTTGGGCCAAATTTCACCAAAATTGAAAAGTAGAGGATTCTTAATTTTTATAACATTCCCTGATACATATACATGTTCTTATGATGCGTAGAAAGTTTGAACTGATTCTGATCAAAATTAATTTTTTACAAATTTTTAAAGCTGCTCTAAAGTCTGGTCAAAGTCCCTGTACTATAGTACAGGGTATTTCATTAAAAATCTTAATTGACTTATAAAAAAAACTTATGAAAAAATTAACAAAAAATTTAATACAAAATTTAGAATTGCTATAAATCACCTCGTTACTATCATGGGTTCTTCCCAAGCTGCTATCTGATCCTGTTTACTTGCTGACTCAGCAGCTAATATACCACTAACACTCTCCTGAACCTAAGTGTGTGGGTGTGGTCATTAACTCCACCCACAAATAAACATCACTGCATACCTTTGGAGGAACAATTAGATCAGGACAAGGCCATGGGATCGGCTTTGAGTTAACAAGTAATTTATATTCCTCTTCATACTCGACCTAAAAATAATAACAACAACAACAACAATAATAATAATAATGATGATGATGATGTTATATAGGTACAAAGACCTTTTCAATGCCTCCAGTGAATCCTCCTTCAACTCCAATAGCTAAACGAGTTGGTTTCTTCTCTGGTGGAGGGTCGTCTGTTGCCTAAAAAGTGGAAGGGGCATATCAAAATAGCCACACCCACACTCACTTGCTCCTCCTCAATAGGTTTTGGCTTCGGTCGTCTCTTAATGTTCAAGTAGACATTCTCTCCGGTTTTACGAGAGTGAAGATCCAACCAGTCCTTACCAACTCCATAAAAGGAATGCAAACTGACATACAAACCATCCTCACTCTCCTAATAAAAACCACGCCCACAAAATAGCCACACCCCCGTTAATATTTTTCTTAGCTTACCGGTGTATCAAAAGAATAGATGCATTCTTCTTTATAGACTTTGTCGTTTGCTCTAGGGATCCTTACATCTATTCCTTCCATCACAGAGGAGATGGGAAAATGACAAAATGAGATAAAGTCCTAAAATTTTGCCCACGTGTGGTGCTAATTTTAATTATTATTGGGTGTGGCTAAAAGTAAATTAATAAATTGCGTGGGTGTGCTAGTTGTAGGCGTGGTATAGGTGGAGCTACAAATAAAAATTTATCCACGTCAGCCATGAAAAGATCCACTTACCTTGTGAATGGTAAGTCATTCCTCGTCATACTTTACTTATTTTTCTGTAGGTCAAGTGGCTAGCAGTAAGCCATGGAGTCTGGAGAAGCTGAGTG